TTTTGATAACTTTGGATTTTGAAATTTTAGCAAAAGTTATTATAAACTATTTATGAGATTGAACACGAAAAACGTGAAGCGCATGCAATACAAAGAATTTGATTTAATTGATAATAGTCAAACTACATAACATAGACCTAAAATTTCTGCAGCGCAAGTACAAAATTTGAGATCGATTTTAAGCGATCGTTTTTCATATACCCACATATGTGCATACATACATACATATATTACTTCTCATATCAATTCAAGTCTATACGTGCGCCCCACACTTTTCATTTTCAATCTCATAAATTGTTTACACTGATTTTTGCTAAAATTTCAAATCCAATGGGACTGAGAAATATTATTTTCTACTTTTTAGTCCATTTATAAAAGCGTTGTATATTAAAAAGGTTTTTTTATTTTATTTATTTTCTACTTCATAGTCTTGTCTGTATAAAATTTTGCAATAGATATTAAAATAATTCAACAATATTAATAGATTGGTACACACACATGCATACACATACCGTCGTTTAAAGTACAAAACCGCGTATCGTCATTCTGCAAAACCGCGTAACTGACATTTGCTGCCAAAAATTTGATTTGCTCATACAAGCTCTGGGCTCAATCCTTATCCATTCGTCCTGAGATATACCAGCCAGAAATGCGATTGCTTTATAAAAAAAGTAAGTGCGCCTGGGCCACACTGGAGAAGTGAAACTTACGTTGCATACATATCTATTTTCTGTCATAACCAATATACATACAAACATACATACATATGTACATATATACATACATCTGATTTTGCTTAAGGTTATATTTTTTGTCATTTTTCTATCTAGATCCCTACCTCTACCTCTGTTCGTTCTAATTACATTTATAATATTCTGTTTTTAACCGACTTCCAAAAAAGGAGGAGGTTATCAGTTCGTCGGAATATATTTTTTTTGTATGTATGTTACCGCATAACTTTGGATCGCGTCGACCGATTTCGATAATTTTTTTTGCATCGGAAAGGTAGTGTCTCAGAGGTGGTCCCATACTAATCCGGTTTAAGTCCAATCATTGGATCATGAAATACATATATATATTTTTATATGAGAATTGAAGTCGGTTATGTTTTTTGCTTAAAAATTTCTTGTTCATTATCTCAATTTTTATCTTTATACTCTATCTATAACAAAATCAATAGTAACATCCAATAAAATATCGATAACAAAACCGATAAAAATATCCAAAACAAAAACGATAAAAATTTCGATAGCGAAAACGATAATAATATTAGTAGCGAAATCTACTAGAAACTCGAAAAGAATATCCATAACAAAATCGATAAAAATATCGATAACAAAATCGATAAAAATATCCTTAACAAAATCGATAAATACGATAACAAAATCGATAAATATCGAAAACAAAATCCATAAATATCTATAAATAATCGATAATTACCGATAACAAAATCAATAAGTATCGATAACAAAATCGAAAAATATCGATAACAAAATCGATAAATATTATTAAAAAAACGATAAATATCGATAAAAAATCGATAACAAAATCGATAAAAATATCGCTAACAAAATAGTTAAAAATATCGATAAAAATATCGATAACAAAATCGATAAATATCCTTCACAAAATCGATAAAAATATCTATAAAAAATATCGCAAACAAAATAGTTAAAAATATCGGTTACAAAATCGATAACAAATCAATAAAAAATATCGATAACAAAATAGATAAAAATGTCGATAAAAATATCGATAAGTCCCGAGAATTCCGAAAACTTCTAAAATCCCAAAATAATTCCCAGATTGAGTCTCTGTGTCTCTCCATATATATCCCTTCGCCTTAAATTACCTTTATTTTAATCTTTCATTCCCCGTTTTCATCTTTACTTTTACCGGTATCCCCATCTTCCTGTTTGTCTTTACTTTACTGTTTATCATTTTTTTTATCTAGATACATATTCCCTTAAAGTAAAGTGTTTAAATTTACCTTGGCCTTCATTTTTGCCTTTATCTTTACGCATCCTTGTTTTTGTTGTTATTTTTGCCTTTGCATTTATCCTTTTCTTTATCTATGTACGTAGTCACCTTTACTTTCATTCTAGTATTGGCCTCTTTCTAAGTGTTATTCTTTAACCTTTTATCAGCAAATTATAGTTAAATTAATACCATATGCATACACACAAGAGGCACTTGTTTCAGCCCCAACCATTTCCGTTGCATCATTTCCGTTAACCTTTTATTAGAAAATCTTAGTTAAATGAATACCATATGCATACACACAGGAAGCACTTGTTTCTGACCCAACCATTGCCGTTGCATAGTTTCCGTGTGCAATTTCCGTTGAATTTGCACATTTACTCCCAACCAACCAACCGCCGCTAAAGAAGTTTCACTTCAAAAAGATAACCATTTTGAAATATGGGTGATTTTACTCTCTAGGAAGTAATTTACATAATTCACATACGCGGTTTTGCATTATCTCGATACGTGGCTTTGCATTTTGTTGATACGCGGTTTTGTACTTTAAACGACGATATGTATGTACATACAAATGTACATGCGAGCACCAATTAATTTCATTTTAAGAAATGGGGTGTCGTCCATTTCCGCTGTAGCATACGTAGTGCATAGGGTGACATCTACCTCTTAACCGACGAGGTTTATAGGAACTTTGCAAAGCAAAGGTTTTATAGCTGTCTGGACACACAACATTGCAAGTGACTGGACACACATCATTGCGAGTGTCTGGACACACAACATTGCAAGTTGATAAAAGCGTTGTAAAAAATAAGCTGAATCAGGGAAAACGGGCAGACGCTACTTGCCGGCTAACGCTAGGCGCACATTGCATCCGATAGGCCGACCAATTTCGGCTGAACAATTTGACCGTCCGAACTGATGCGCACACTTAACGAGATTATTTGCCGACCGTATTTGTACACACAAATCTAGTTTTCATTAGAATTTTGTAAGCAATCAAATATTTTGACACATTTTAATTGACATACTCTAAACATGTGATTTTATATGTAATTTTTTTGTTTTTGCACCCAATAAGTTAATTTTTCGCAGTCCATTTTGGTACTTTTCACCTGACATCGGACGAGAAAAATGTATCATCACTGACGTACGTCAGCGGCCAGTGTCGTAAGGCGCTGGAAAGGAAGGCGCTGTAAAGGAAGGCACGCATCCTCACAGTATATCTTTTAAGAGTGGTTACGGTCGGCAAAAATCCTCCGGCTGAACCCTCCACGAGGGTGCCGACTGGAAATGGGCACTACAGCTTCTGTGCGATGTCAGAATGGTGCTCAGCTAGGATCAGGAATCAGTGCCATGTGCTAAACTCCTTAATAGCTTAGTCATATGGAAATGGTTTTTGATCGTGGTTTGGAGGTCTGAAGGGGCTGGATCAAGGGGTCACGCGCACCGTACCGAGGTTCGGCCAGGCTGGGGGCCCCTAAATAGCCCAGTCGCGAACGGAGCCCTCTGGGAGGCGGCCACACCCAGGGGATGTAAGTAGGCCTTACCTGGGCATCGCGGATCTCTGCCCGGGTGGACGACCCCCCTTTCTCCGCAGCCCGTGGGAACAAATATGGAAAAAAAATCAAAAAACAACAACAACAAAACAGCAACAACAACAACAAAAACAAACAATAAAGGGACCGGCCCCTTAAGGCGTCGGAAGGGTCTCGGCCCACTAAAGAAGGGGCTCAAGCGATGCAAAGTACCTCCACCAGCCGTAGTGCGGTGACAAACAGCGGGAAACCAAGGCCAATGGTGAAACCGGGCAAAGCTCCTGCAAAAAAGAAGGAAAGCGGCGGTGGGATGCTCAAAGGAGTCCACCCCGGGAAACTCCTGGCACCAGTGGAAGCCAACCTGGCATGCAGATTGCAGCCGGGGATAAGGCTGAATCTGGGGCGCAGGCCTCGGGCGGTCCTCCCGCGACACCCACGGCCTTCACGAGGCCTGACCAGAGGCCAGAACCAGCTCAAGCGGGCTATCGACAGAAGAAGATGGCTGCACGAATCCTGCAAAGGTTCACCACTACGCCTGACCTGTGTAGCAAGACGAAGGCAGAGTATGTGAAAGAGATCCTCACAGAAATCGACTGGGCGAAGGCAGTCCTGCCCGATTACCGCAAGCCGGAGGAGAGATAGCCGCAGGCGCCCTCCAGTAAGCGCAATAGATCGGGGGGAAATACGGCCAACAATGCAAAGAGGGTCAGAACGCAGGAGCCTTCTTTTGCTGAAGTAGCCAAGGAGCAGATCCTGCTTGGCGTCATTGACGAGAGCGATGAAGACAGCGTAGCCCTGAGGCAGCAATGGAAGTGGGTTAAGCCCGCGATGGCCGACATTGCTATCACCATCATGTTGGAGAATCCGGGACCTCCGCCAACCTGCAAGGGAGCGGGGTGGTTCCAAAATAACATCCGGGTTATAGCATGCGAGGATGCTAGATCGGCGGATATATATAATAAGACAGTCACAGGCATTGGAGAAGTCTACCCTGGTGCGAAGCTCAGGGCGGTCGACTTCAAGGACCTACCGGTGCGACCGAGAGCGAGAGCATGGTTGCCTTGCAAGCCAGCGGAACCCGAAAGGATCCTGTATACCATAAGGCTCTACAACCCGGATCTACCTACCGAAAATTGGAAGGTGGTGAAAATAAATGAAAGCGGTAAAGCGACGATGCAGGTTGTCCTGCTTCTTAATAAGGACTACATAGAGTTGCTGGAGCAAAAGAGCGGGGTGATACGGTACAGCTGTGACATGGCCAAAATTAAGGTCTACAGCAACGACGTAAACGCAGCGAAGGACCTGATCGCGGAGGTAGAGCCGGAGGAGGCCAACAGCGACGTGGAGATGGAGGGGGAATCCGTGCAGGTTGATCCGATGGACAACCTGACCGGGGGTTATGCCTAATCGACGTCTTCGCTGGGGGTCGGACGCATGCTTCGGCTTTATGCGGAGGAGGAGTTGATCGAGATGTCGGAAGACGCGGTCAACTCCACCCTAATAGGCGACGTGGGCGATAACGGCCAAAATGGTGAACGTATTGCAGATTAACCTTCACCACTGTAAAGCAGCTTCAGCTGCACTGCTGTTCCATCTAACAGCTAAAGGGGCAGCCGACATCGTCCTAATCCAAGAACCTTGGGTGGTGGGTCAAAACATTTGCGGGCTGAAAGCGCCGGGCTACAGACTGGTAAGTGGAGCCTCAACGGGGAAACCAAGGACGTGCATATTGATAAGTATCACACTAAAGTGTCTATTTCTTCCACAATTTAGCGACGAGGACACAACAGCGGTCAGTCTAAGTGTAAACGGACGACCAATTAAGATGGCATCCATGTACCTAGCGCACGACAAGGAGGGGCCAACTACCTGCATAAAGGACCTAGTGGCCAGCACGAGGGTGGCGCTAATTTTGGGAGGTGATGAAAATGCCCACCATCATACCTGGGGCAGCTCCGACGATAACGAACTGCGTATGCGGATGATCTTGCACTAACAGTAAGTGGGAAATTTCCACAGACCTTATGTGACATTATGCAGGTAAAACTGATGGAAGTCGAGAGTTGAACAAAAAATAACGAGTTAGGGGTAAACCCAAACAAAACAGAACTTATACTATTCACGAGAAGGTACAAAATCCCCCCATTGATAACACCAAGGCTGGCCCAGACCACACTAAAATTAAGCGATTCTGCTAAATACCTAGAGATAGTCCTAGATAGAAAATTAAGTGGGACTCAAAACACCGAAGAGCGGATGCGGAAGGCCACGCTGCAGGAGGGCAATCGGCCGAAAATGGGGGTTAACCCCGAAGCTAGTGCACTGGATATACACCGCCGTGGTGAGGCCCATACTTCTGTACGGGGTAGTGGTATGGTGGCCTCCGCACAACACCTACTATGGCATTGAATACGATCCTTAAAATCATACCCATAGATATTATAGGACGACAATACGCTGCGTTTGCAGCCCCAAGACTACAGGGGCTTAAAAGCTGGAAAGCGGCTCGCTGTGGTCACACTGCAATTCTGAGGAACCGACAACTACCGAGTACAACGGGCTATTGTGTACCAAGGCTCACCTTCACTAAAGGTTATAGCGTAACGCTACCTAGCAGAGAATCATGGTTCGAAGGAGTTCCGGGGTTTAGAAATGCCATTCTACACGGACGGCTCCAAACTAGAAAATAGGGTAGGAGGAGGCGTCTACTCGGAGAAATTGGGAATAAAAAGGTCATTCCGACTACCTGACCATTGTAGTGTCTTTCAAGCCGAATTGGCAGCCATGCAAGAAGCCGTTGACAGCCTAAAACTAGCTGTTATCGCCACTACGGAAATATATATATACTCAGACGGTCAGACGGCCCTTATGGCGCTTGACTCTGTCACTATAAATTCGGAAACAGTTGCCAACTGCCGCAAATCACTCAATGTGATGGCAGAGCAGTTCGCTTTGCACCTGGTATGGGTACCGGGGCACAGTGACATACCAGGAAATGAGAAGGCAGACGAGCTTGCAAGGGCGGGTACCTCCTCTCCACTTTCACCAGCCTGGAAGAGGATGCGTATGCCACTCGCTTCCTGCAAGCTCTTACTAAGGGAGAACTTCCTTGAAGAAGCGGCCTCCAGATGGGATCGCACTGAAAACTGTAATACAACGAAGCTTACATGGCCAAAATGGGATGCACGGAGATCGAGAGAAATTCTTACTCTCAATAAAGGCGATATGTCACTGGCCATTGGTCTGCTCACAGGACATATCCTGATAGGAAGGCACGCAGAACGCCTCGGGGCTAGTCACAACGACTACTGCAGGAGCTGCCACGACGAAGAAGAGCCTGAATCAATAAGGCACTTACTCTGCGAGTGCCCAGCACTAGGCAGGAAAAGACAGAAATTCCTAGGTATAGGTCTTCTAGACGATCTAAGCGCAACTGCTAAGTTGGGAATACGGCAGCTGCTAAGGTTCGCAGACTCCACGAACTGGTTTAAGGAGTAGGGGTTTTTGGATCCATGTGGTATCACAATGGGCCCTGATCGGGCCTAAGTGTGCTGGCGCCCTCTGGGCCTAGCAGCCACTTCAACCTAACCTAAGAGTGGTTACGGTGATCGCCTCTAGTATAACTTATACACCTGTTGCTTGCACCAATCACTTTCAGGAAAAAATTGTTGGTTAATTTTTTGTTTTATATAAACCGATCCTGGAGTGGCTTGACAGTTCAGTACAGTACAGCAAAATTTACGAACAGTCTGGAAAAGCGCGAGTTCCCCCTACAAATTTCAGAATTATCTCTGAACTACTGCAAAAGGGATGCAGAGCTGGACGGTTGAAACTCATATGGTGCTAGTTAAGCTGTCATCAATGTTACTCATCCTGGTCATGTGAAAGCTGACAAAAGATGCACAAATATACCATACTATACTTTTTCGAGTTTCTTAGACCCTAAAACTAATAGCAAACTGTTATCGTTTATTTAATATGTAATTCCCTAGTTTAGGGGGCAACGGCTAAAATATTTCCAAAAAATCATTACTGGTAACATTAATGTCATTTTTATACATATAGGTATACATACATACGTACGTATAATATTTAATGCAAAATGTAACCATAAAATGCGAAGGATTTAATTATTATAATTTTGTAGACGGGCGGCAACTCTATTCAAAAAATAAATCCTTATTGTATGTCTTCAGGCACAGCCCTTTCATTTGACACCTTATTTTTTTTAATCCAACGAACCGTGCAGATTTTTTAATTTTTAAAAAGCTGTCAATCCTATTAAAAAAAAATAAAAACTTATTTCATATCTAGAGGCCAAGCCTTTCATTTGACACCTCATTTTTGAAAATCGAACGAACGCTGCAAATCTTATGCAATTAACGAAATTGCCTTCGCATAGAATAGTATCCCTAGCAGTGTTGCCAAACATGGGCTTTTCCTACCAAACCTGGTAGGTTTTTTTCTATTTGGTAGGTTGGTAGGCTAGTTTGGATTTTGGTAGGTTCAGCGACAATAATAGTTATTTGCGAAAAATATTAAATATTTATGTATCTCCAGACATTTTTGCAACCAAGCCTTGAAGAATATCACCAAAACTAACCTATTGGTCTTTCTAAAGCCATTCTTGGCTAATATCGAGTTATCCTTCTACAAACCCTACAAGGTCAGAATTCCTGAAAGGGACTGCTGCAAGGTGATAGTAAATATGATTGACGAAAGGTGCCAAGCATGGTATACCGACGGATCAAAAAGGGATTACGAGAGTAATGGGGCAGGCGTATTTTGACCAAAATTCCAGAAAGTCTGGTCAAATTAAATATTATTTCGGATAGTCAGGCAGGTTAAAGGCCTTAGACTCTTTTAAAAAAGCAGCAGGTTTGCCGACCACTTGGAAGCCCACAATAACGTAACGCTGTGGTGGGTTCCGGGACATGAAGGGTATGAAGGCAACGAAAGCTGACTGCCTCGCAAAGCGTGGAGCCCAAATGCACTTGCATGGTTCCTAGCCTTTTGTGAGCTAGTGGAAGAAACTTCACAGCATATACTATGTGACTGCCAACGTATCATAAATAGCAGACTGATACACATTGGGGAACGATTGTCTTCTTCATCCAAAATTTTAAACATGGAATGATTACAATTAGGGTTAAGCACAATAGATAGATGTGTAAAGAGACAAACATTTGTGTAAGTCTGTACAGTAAAATGAATTGTTATACCTTGTTAATTTGTTTTTATCGTACCATCTGTGGTTTAAATGTTGTGTTATCTAGATTTTTAATAAACTTGACATAAAAAAATATAAAAAACTTAAATAAAACTTTCGTAGGTTTTGGTTGAGTTTGGTAGGAAGTTTTGGTAGGAAAAAAAATTTGTCCGTGGCAACACTGATCTCTAGCCACACCAACTTTCCGCGAATGTTTAACGCATCATTTACATACATTCACTTACATATGAACGAGAAGGACAGCAGTGAACGTTCGCGAAGGCATCGATGCCATTTATACCCTGCAGAAAATCTTTTGCCGATAGTACTAGTTCTAGCTCAATACCCAAGCAATGCTTTCAACTCTCCAGTTTAACACGGCGATGTCATTGGCAGTGACAATTGTCGCCCAGTGCATTACTTTGCAACTAGTTTTTAACCAGTTCAGTTTTAGACAGTTTTTTTATAAGAAAACCTTTTTAAGACTAGATTTTTTAATATTTTTTCCTTTTTTTCTTTTCTTTTACAGATTCCAAGTTTGTTACATACACAGTATACAGCATGATACAAAAAAGAAGGTAGTTTCATTTAATGACATTCGTTGTTGTTGCTAACCATTTGACTTTTAATAAAATTATGGCATTTCATCAAATTCATGCTACCTGATTACTGGAAGAAATATATTTTTTTAAGCAGAGATTATATCAGTACATTCAAAGATGTGGAATATGATGAACTAGAAAATTATGCCGGCTAAATGATTTCGCAAATGGGGTTGACGACTAGGTTTCAGAACGCATGAGAATGTGTAACTGCAAAACCGCGTAACTGACATTTTTCTCCAAAAATTGGATTTGCTCACACAAGCTCTTGGCTCAACCCTTATCCATTCGTCCTGAAATGCGATTTCTTTGTAAAAAAGATAACCATTTTGAAATGTGAGTGTTTTACTCTCTTCTAAATAATTTATGCAACCTCACATACGCAGTTGTGCATTTTGTTGATACACGGTTTTGTACTTTAAACGACGATCTGTTAGCTGTTTATCGGAGGGCGGTCTGTTCAAGCCTTCTTCAGGTGTTTTGCATAAATTAATTTGTGAAATTTAATGATGCTAAAAGCCTAATTTTTGCAAAATCTGATGAGAAATTTAAAAGCAAATTTGAACCTAAATATAAAAAGGTTTCATTTGGGAAGAACATTCTTTAGAATTTGATTTTTAAATCGCAAGATGGCATTAAAAAAAAAAAACAGAAAAATGCGCCCGTGGTTTTTATTAAAAAATGAAGAGAACCATTACGATGAAGTCTCCTTTAACAGTACCAAGTACTAATAATGGTTTTTGATTTAAAATGTTATTACATTGGTATAAATATGGGAAAGAAAATACTCCGATTTATTGTTTTAATATTATCAAAGTGGCAAGGCCGTTGATAATACTCACAAATTATGAAACTTCAAAAAATTTTATTATCCGTCAAAAGTTGTTTATTGAAACTACCTTCTTTTTCGTATCATGGTATACAGTAAACCAGCCATTGACAATATGCTTATTTGAAAATTAATACATGAAATATTGTGCATGTATAGGATTCTTTTGTCATTACCCCATAGGGTTTGACTGGTGCAAAAGTACGCACAAATGTTTGTTGATATATTTGAAATGTAAATTTTGACAGCGAAATTCATAAAAAAAATAATAAAACAAAAATATTGTTGATTACTACATGGGAGGTGGTCGTGGTTATTGACAGGTCATTTCGTCATTCTGAATATTTTAATAAATATGTATGTAAGAATACATATGTGTATATACATTTTATACGGTTGAAAAACGGCCTCGCTAATCTGCATAAACCTTTTTTATTTGCATTAACTCATACAGTATCCTTTTCAAATGAGAATAAGCGGCAGAACAAGTGCATACAAATTTGTTTGAACGTCGATATATAACTTTGTGTACATATTTTATTAAAACTTTGGAGGTCTCCACTATAAGAGTTGTATATTTGAAAATTAGAGAGTTCTACCTTTAA